TCCCTGCACATTAAAGACCCAAACCCTAAACCCTAAACTGTAAACCTAACCCCCTACTCCTGGCATGAAAGAGATGCCACAACTCCAGGCAAAGTAGCTTCCCATCTCCGTTCTTGTCCAACCTGAAGGCGCATGAGGAGCTTAGGCTGTTTAAACTCAATTTTATCTATTCATTCTTTGTTTTTTGTTGAGGGGGGGGGTGGCTTAGGGTATAGGGTTTGGGGTTCGCGAGGCGAGACTCACACAAGGAGTCAGGTCGCACTAGGGCAGCCCAACCTAGTGCGAACAACAGTGTAGGCTAGAGTAACCCAGGAATAAAAAGGGTACCCTTTTGGGTTTTAAGGGGATTATAAGGGAACCCCAACCCTAAAAAAAAGGAAAAAAGGGCCTACTTTCGGTCCTAGTAGGGGCCAACTGACCCTCATCTACAGTTCCACCCGACCAGCATGCAAGCCATGACCCTATGTCTCACTCAGACGGCCAGGCTTGAGCTGTAGGGACGGTTTAGGGCCTGGGGTTTAGGGGTTTAGGGTTTCGGGTCTGGGGTTTAGGGGTTTAGGGTTCAGGGTTTGGGGTTTTGGGGTTTGGGGTTCGGGGTTTGGGGGTGATTCGGGATTCAGAGGGCCTAGACTCTGGGTCATAGGGAAGGAATCCGGAACCCCAAAAGGTCAAAGAAGGTGCGAGCTCCGGATGTCTGGAAAAACTCAGATGCCACTTTTGACTTGCCCTAAACCCTAAACCCTAAACCCTAAACCCTAAAGCCTAAACCCCAAACCACCTCACTCCTCGCCATGGCGCTTGGCATACTTGGCTCGCAGCTTCGCCTTTCGTGCGGCGGTGGCCTCCGAACTCTCCTGCTTAGGATGAGGTTCTTTTTAAGGCTTAGGGCTTAGTTGGGTTTAGGGTTTAGGGTTTAGGGTTTAGGGTTTAGGGTTTAGGGTTTAGGGTTTAGGGTTTAGGGTTTAGGGTTTAGGGTTTAGGGTTTAGGGTTTAGGGTTGAGGGTTAGGGTTTAGGGTTTAGGGTTTAGGACTTAGGGCTTAGGGCTTAGGGTTTAGGTTTCAGGGTTTAGGGCTTAGGATCAGGTTCTTGCAGGTTTCGCTGAGCTGGGTTTGGGGTTTGGGGTTTGGGGTTTGGGGTTTGGGGTTTGGGGTTTAGGGTTTAGGGCTTAAGATGAGGTTCTTGGGGGTGTTGGCTGAGTTGGGTTTGGCGTTTGGGGTTTGGGGTTTAGGGTTTAGGGTTCAGGGTTTAGGTTTTAGGGTTTAGGGTGTGGGGTTTGGGGTTTAGGTTGTTTTTTTGGGTTGAGGGTTTTGGGATTTAGAGTAAAATAAGGGGCTCATCAAATCTTCGACTTTTGCTTACGTGTTTGGGTAGGGTTCTTAGGTGGAGGCGCCAAGGACTTTTGGGGCTCAGAGGTTTGAGGTTTGGAGTTCAAGGGTGTGCATGGGGAGCGAAGGGCAAATGTATCGCCTCTAGACGCCTCGCCCAAAAGGATTGCCATGGGCTCTTGTCTTGGTAGCCCAAGAACCATATTATGATAAGGGCACCCTTTTTTGGGTTGGTTACTTTATAAGGGAACCCATAACAAAACAAAAAAGGTAAGGGGTACCACTGGGCTACCGAGTTGTGAGCTTGTGAACTCTTACGGCGGTCCGACGTCCCATGCGCATTTTGGCACTTGAGTCTCTCAGTTTCGCGCAGACGTGGTAGCGGAACTGCAGTCGCACCTGGGCCACGGCCATGGTTCATGCTTTCGCCATAGCCCCATGCACACGCTCCTCGCGAAGATGCGCGCTCACGCCGCAGTCTCGTCTGCGAAGTGCCGAAAAAATGTCGTCGCGTTGGGGGGCCTAGTCACGCTGCCTCGCAAGTCCATACTTTTTCCCCCTGTGGTGGTTTCGAGTATGACTTCTACCTGCTCGATGTCACAGTAGGCCCTAAACCCTAAACCCTAAACCCCAAACCCCAAACCCCAAACCCTAAACCCTAAACCGTAAACCGTAACCCTAAACCCTAAACCCTTTTTGCCACTGGACTGAAGGCAAGCCAGTATACCCGAAACCCAGTGGGCTCCTGACGTTTCTGGTCCATCAGGATGCCCGCCTGGCGCAACGAGCTACGGCATTCGGGCACCGTGACAACAGCCTGTTTAGGGTTCAGGGTTCAGGGTTCAGGGTTCAGGGTTCAGGGTTTAGGGTTTAGGGTTTAGGGCCCCAAGAGGGGGATGTTGCGGGAGGTGTCCAGAAAGCCTGCAATGTAGAAGAAGGTACCCAGCAAGGGACATACATATATATGGTCCGGCGTCTGGCGTGTCCGGCCCCCCCCCCCCCCCCCCCCCCCCCCCCCCCCCATGGTATGGTCAGGTAGGGGGGGGGGGGGGGCCGACCCTCGGCAAAACCCGTGTTTTGTGAGTGTTGTGCCTTCGGTTGAGGGAGCACGCCCTCGGAGAAACCCATGTGTGTGAGGCGTTTACCCCCCTACCCCCCCTCCCCCCTCCAGGCCTACGGTCTCCAACCCTAAACCCTAAACCCTGTCAAACCCTAAGCCCTAAACCCTAAACCAACCCTGAACCCTAAACCCTAAAACCAACCCCCAACCACACCACAGGGGGGGGAGGGGTTAACCCTAAAACCTTTCAAACCCTAAACCCTAAACCCTTAACCTAAAACCCTAAACCCTAAACCCTAAACCCTAAACCCAAACCCAAACCCTAAACCCTAAACCCTAAACCCTAAACCCTAAACCCTAAATCCCAAACCCTAAACCCTAACCCTAAAACCAACCCCCAACCACACCACAGGGGAGGGGGGGGGGGGGTTCCAGACCATGGGTGGGGGGGGGAGGGGGGGGCCGGGGAGCACTGGACCATATATATATATATATGCCTCAGAACCGTTCGGCCATAAGAAGCTGAACTGAAACAGAACAGTTGCTACGAACAATAGTCACTGATTGCAAATCATGCGTCTAGATGAACACTTGGGCTGAAGGTGCCTAACTCCCTTCTACCACAAATCAAAGCCCGCATCCCCGATCTCAAATTGCCGGCGCCTTCACGCCAGAAAATCCGCCATCGCGGGATGTGAGCCAGTTCTCGGATTGCAACACAACCCAAGTCGCTTTGCATCCAGAGCCCTCTCTTGCTACCTTGTTACGCAAGGGGCTGGAGATTCTGTTTTCCACGCGCACGCAGCTCAAACGCCGGGCTCTGACTATTTCTGTAACGGCGACTACTCGTACACTGCTAGCAGTACAGATTGCGCAACTCTGATTTGAAAGAATGCTTGATCCTGATTGTGCGCTGCTTCAAAATTTAAACTCAAGAGCAGCAAGCGTTCCCGAGACTCAGTAGCCCAGTAACCGAATTAGAATAAGGGCAGCCTTTTTGGGGTTGGTTGCGTTATCAGGAAAACCTTGAACAGAAAATTCGGGAAACGGGTACCACGACAGGGCTACCAAGTAGATGAGTCAAGCAGCAATGAACTCCTCGTACTGCACCGAGCCGTCGCTGTTCACATCCATGAGGCTAAACCTTTAGGTGACACGCGGGCAGCAAAGCCGCGAATTTCAATGTAGGTATCTGGTCAAGACGTATGAATAGTATTTTCTAACAAGAACACTTTTATTCATATCTTTTGAGTACCAAATCACAAAAGAACCAAGAAGGGAGGGATCCACTCCAAGTACGGGCGCCTCGAAATTGGGTCCTTTGTTATATGATATAGGGATCTTAATCATTTTAATAGGGTTTTGGGGGTTATTATAGTAGAAGTATATAGGGCCCGGAATCATTTTTGATAGGGTTTTGGGGGCTACTATAGTAGAACTAGATAGGGACCATGAGGGAATACACTAGTGATTTTCCGACCCCTGTCTAAACCTTATATAGGCTCTCCAGCAACATCGGGTCATGTGTGCGCCAGGCCGAGGGAAATAAAGGATAACCCTATGAGGGTGGCATAGGGATCATCGCAATCCCGACTGCTAGGAGGCTTCCTGAACCCGAAGCCCTAAACCCTGAAAGCCCTGAAGACCCTAAACCCTAAACCCCAAACCTCTAAACGGAGCCCTAGCGGCATCTTCTCGCAGCCGGCTTTGTCGAACTGCGGATTCCTTTTGAAGGAATCCGGAGTTCTGAGGTTTAGGGCTTAGGGCTTAGGGCTTAGGGCTTAGGGTTTAGGGTTTAGGGTTTAGGGGTTAGGGCTCAGGGTTTAGGGGTAGGGGCTGCCCTAGCCCCAAAAAGGTTAACCTGTCTTCCTAGTAGGATTATCTGTCACCCAAGAGGTTGAAGGTTCGCTACCCAGCCCCTAAGGGCAAAGTTTTGGGGCGTCCGGGCGCCAAGCTTTGGGCTGATAGGCTTGAGATGTCTTAAGATGGCTTTATGGAGAGCTTATCCGGTTTCCAGGGTTTAGGGTTTAGGGTTTGGGGTTTTTTTTTCCGCATATGGGACCTGTCCTTCATAGCAGCCAAAGCATGTGAATTTCAGTCTTGAAACTGTCATGACTGAGCAAGATCACAACCCCAAATCAGATCATACATTCAGGTCCACGAGTGTGAGGAGCAAAGCCAGGAAACAAAGAAGTGCACGGGAGGTCCGCCATCGTCCATATCCAGGGATCCTAAAACTCGCGTCCATGTTCTCCCTCCCCATGTTCCACGTCCGTGCAACCTCAGGGAAGCGAGCATCATAGAAAGGATGTCATTCAGAACAACCAGCTCGTCGCGAACCGGCGTCATCACCACGACGTCGCACGCCTCCTGCACACAGCCGATGTTGCCGATGACCCAAGACTCCTCCGTGGGGTACTTGTGGTCCGCAAACGTGCAATCCCATGGCCTGTCACATTCACCCGCTTGTAGCGGGCCAACACCAGCATGTCACACGCCTTCTGCACACGGTCGACGCTGCCGACCACAGGAAACAAGGGCTCCATGAAGTCGCCCGCCAGGTGAATGCGCTCCATGCCGACAGCATTGAAAAGCGCCGCACCAGCTGCCCAAATCAATCCATCCCAGACAATGCAACATGCTCCGCGAGCGTTGGGGCGCGCATGGCCAGCGACAGGCGCGCCCCGGCTGGCACGGTCTCCCGGGCACCTCCAGCCGGTCCCGGCTGAGCGAAGTGCTGCCTGCGCTCCTGCAGCCTTGCCTCGGCCCGATGTTCTTGAAGCGCGCGAAACCCATCCATGGTGAACCGTCGCAGCGGCCCCATCATGGCTGCCTCCAGGAACTCCACCTTGTGGGCGGGGCGTGAAGGGGCGGTGCCTGAACGTCGAAGAGGAAGTCCCGTGCCTCGGTAGGGCATCGCGAGGACATTTTTGAAGGCAGGCAGAGGTAGTCTGAGACTCTGAGCCCGAATGCTTGAGCCAAAACCGTAGCCAGGTTTGGGGTTTAGGGTTTAGGGTTTAGGGTTTAGGGTTTAGGGTTTAGGGTTTAGGGTTTAGGGTTTAGGGTTTAGGGTTTAGGGTTTAGGATGACTTCAGGTGTCTCCGTTGGGATCGGAGTGCCGAGTGTGGAGCCTCGCCTCCAGGAACAACTTTGGGGGCGGTTGCCGCACTGGAATTCGAGGTTGCTCTCTACGCCCTGAAACCTACAACCCTAAACCTTAAACCCTAAACCCTAAACCCTAAACCCTAAACCCTAAACCCTAAACATGTAACTTTGAACCCCAAAACCCTACCTGGGGACCCTCTTTCCCTTGAATCTGGGCTATAGCTACTGACTAAACTGCAGGCAAATAGTCTCCCGGGTAAAACCCTTTTATATCCTAAACCCTCCCATAGCATGCTCCATCAAGTTTCGAATAGGGTTACACAACACTCCTTTTAGAGGAAGAGTATGAGGAAGACTTCTAACTCATGTGGATGGAAAGGGTTTAGGGTTCAGGGTTTAAGTGTGTGGGTCAGGCGTGTGGAGTCAGGGTTTCCGCGTCCCGGCTCCTGAGTGGTACTTCTGCACAGAAACCGAACCTGTAAATCTATGAGCACTGATTGGTATGTCTCACCTAAACCCTAAACCCTAAACCCTAAACCCTCTATGAAGACATAGAGCCACAAGCCTAAACACCGTCTAAGAAACCTGCCTTGTCTAGGTTGGCCCTGAAGCCCTTTGGAAAGTATTGGAAATATAGGGCCCCTTATAAAACCCAAATAAGGAAAATATGAAGTATATCCCAAAAGCCAACCTAGTTTTATCAGCCAGGTGTCAGCTTGGTGAGTACCCTAAGCCTAACCCCCTAACCCCTAACCCCTAAACCCGAAACCCTAAGCCCTAAGCCCTGTCCGCCATGCGTCAGTTTGGTGAGTACCCGGATCAACTCGCTCACCGAGATGTCCCCGCTGCCATCCCGGTCCCACTTCTGAAAGATCTCCTGCCGCGAGACTCTTGTTTGCAAACCCTCACCCCTGGCACCCTACCCTTTTAGGGTTTAGGGTTTAGGGGTTTAGGAGTTTAGGGGTTTAGGGGTTTAGGGTTTAGGGGTTTAGGGTTTAGGGGTTTAGGGATTTTGGGGGCTATGTATCTTACATACTTTGGAGGGGAAAGCACTTACCCTTGACGCCCCAGACTGGGACCCTCTTGTGCAATCGCCAGACGCCGACTTCATCAAGCGAGTCAAGCGCTGTAGCACGCGCAAACCCTAAACACCCCTTTTTTGCATCCGGACTCCATAAACCCTAAACCCTAAACCCTAAACCCTAAACCCAAAACCCAAAACCGAAGGAAGCAGGTCCCTGAGCTGCTCTGAGCCGGCCATATGGTCGTGGGGCGCAGGGGGGGGCGAAGGTCACTTCGAGCTGCCGGTGGCTTCGGCGCGCAGTGCCCGCATCATCTTGCTTGGGGTTTAGGATTTAGGGTTTAGGCTTTAGGGTTTAGGGTTCAGGGTTCAGGCTTCAGGGTTCAGGGTTCAGGGTTTAGGGTTTAGGGTTAGGGCTACTGGGAGGTTCATGGTACTTATGAACCAACTATAACTGTACGTATAACCCACTTACGAGCCCTTTAAGTGCTCCCAGAGGGTTGTGAGTACGGTGATTACTGGCTAGTAAGTACCATGAAACTCCACAGTAGGGCTGAGGGCTTATCTACTATAAGGTGGCCGGAAGAAATACTAGTAGTGTTCCCTTCTGGCCCCTATACAAATATTCTATAGTACCCCCCCCCCCCCTCCTAACCCTAAACCCTAAACCCTAAACCCTAAACCCTAAACCCTAAACCCTGAACCCCCAAAACCCCGAAACCCCAAAAAACCTCTTCTAATTCTTTAGGCCCCTATATGAGGGCCATTCATTAGGGATCAGGGTTCAGGGTTTAGGGCTTCTTGGCATTCCCTCATTCGTTGGCGTGTGTGATCGGCAGAGCAAAAGGAAGAAGACAGAACGCAGCGAGGAGGATGTAGAAGTCGTTCTGTGGAGAAGGCAACCGTGATCTATACTCCCTCCCTTTAGTTTCTGAAAAGCGTTGCAACTCCCTTGGGTCTCACATAAACAATATAGAACATCATTCCCAAGGAAACTATCGTCATGGGGCGCTCTATCCCCTCCAAACATACAACTGCTCTGTGGGCTTCCTCGTTCAGCTACTCGACTCATCTCAGCTTCTGCTCTCCATGAGACTTACTTCCTCACGGAACATCGTCAGAATCACCAAGCAACAGCTCGGGAAGTTCATAGGTTATTGGAGCCAACATGCTGGGAATGCATCGAGAAGTCGGGAAGCCCTAAACCCTCAACCCTAAAATCAGGCACTCCCCAAGAAATTTACATTGAACAATGGGGAGATCCAACATGGGAGACTGAGCATCAATCCTTCCAATCCCGCGCCTTGGACACCAACCCATCCCGAAAATGAGTCACATCATGTCAGTTCAACTTCGTCGCCCAAGGCGTGGAATAAGAAATGTAAAACTTGGATGGGGGAAGTGGTAACGCCATGCCTTCCTTTGGTCTTGTGACAAAACCTGCTGGACCCAACCACACCCGCAGGACTCCTCGTTGTGGAAAGCAACATTGGGTGGGTGGGTGGGGCAGCCCTGAATAGGGATTATAGTACCCCCTATTCTAATCCCTATTAAGGACTGTTAGTACAAGTGGGAACATCCCAAAATTAAACCCTTGTTGCTGCAGGCTTGCGACGACTCGCCTGGAGTGAGAACCCTAAACCAAGTAGCCAAGCAAAGGGTCCCACTCATAGGGGAAAATGGAGGGGCCCCTCGAAGGAACCCTTAATCTTGTTCCCCTGTACAAGCTTTATATATATATATATATAGTCCCTATATACCTAAGTAGACCCTCAGATAACCCCTGAGGTCCCCTATAAGGGTCCCTCTCGTAGTCCCTTGACCCACGGGTGTTGCTTCTTTGTCCTCCGACGCATCTGCGCAATGCTGCGCATCCTCCGTCCTCAAGACACCTCTCTGCTGCCTGAAACCATAAGCCCGGTTGATCCTGCGACCGGAACGCACCAGCAAGCCCAATTCTTAGGGTAGCTACATGGTCCCTGAATGCAACTCTTTGCTTAAGAACCCCAAAAGAATACAAAGTAATAATCCCTAAATTATTACCCTTAATAAGGAAGAAGATTTTTGTTTTTTTGGGTTTCTAAAGCAATTAGTAGAATATGAGCCCTTCAACCCAAGGTCCCATACTCCAGAACCCGCCCCTTAAGGTAAGGGACCATCATAAGAGCCGATGAACCTACCCTTATACTCAGATGGAACCGCAAAAAAACCGTGGGACCCTTAGCCCTCTCTCCCGTTTAGGGTTTAGGGTTTAGGGTTTAGGGTTTAGGGTTTTGCAAAGTTCCGATGCCGTAGAGCGCAGCTCCTGCTCAGCTCCTGCAGCCAAGAGCAGGGAATGCCCGTCATGCTTCCCGTTCTTTCCACTGTTGGTTTTTCTCACCCAGAGGGTCCATGAGTAGTACAAAAATGGAATCAGGTACCCAAAACACCCCAAAACCATACCAAATAGGGTTTTTGGGTACCTAATTCCAGAATAGTACTACACATGGACCACTCCTGGTGATACCAATTGCAATCCAGGTACCAACTTATGTATCAACCCTCTGCGTTCGGTTGTGGGCCTTTCGGGTCTTTAGGGTTGCAGGATCTACAACTTGCTTAAGAACTCCCCCAAAAAACATGAAAGAAACAATTCCCAAGGTTGCCCTGAGAAGGAAGATGTTTTGATAATTTTGGGGTGGATTCTGAAGCAATGCACCCCCAAAAACGTGAAGAAAAAAACCCTGGAAGGCAGAATCTGCTTAATTTGTTTGGGGGGGGGGATTTTGAAATAAATAGTAGCTAGGATGGCCCTTAAAACCCTCTTCAAATTGTTCTTAAATACATTCCTCTTAAACCCTAAGCTCTAAACCTTAAACCCAAGGGCTACCAAGGTAGGGATAGGCCGCTTAAACCCACTGAGGCAAAAACACAAAATGTCCCAAGGGCCTGCCGAGGGAAAACAAGGGGCCTGAATAATTAGAATAGGGTTTTGGGGAGTGATAAAAGTATAATTACAAGGGGACCATAGCCCTAAACCCTAAACCCTAAACCCTAAAACCCTAAACCCTAAGCCCTAAACCCTAAACCCTGAACCCTAAACTTCCCTAAACCCTTCTGGAGGTTTTCCTATATCAGGGATTGAGGATTGAGGGAAAGGGTGCGTAGCACGTGGTGCCTGGGACCTTAGCATCTGATAACCTCCAAGAAGGGAGTTTAGGGTTTAGGGTTTAGGGTTTAGGGTTTAGGGTGTAGGGGTTTAGGGTTTAGGGTGTAGGGGTTTAGGGCTTTAGGGTTGTAAGCTCTAGGGTGTAGGGGGCTTAGGGTTTTCGAGTTTAGGGTAGCTGGCTTCATCCCAAGAGCCCTGTCCTGTTACTTCGTCGGCAGCGTGACCAACGCATTCCCAAGGCCAAACCTGCACTTAGGGTTCGGGAAGCCACCATGCTGTCAGGGTTTAGGGTTTAGGGTTTAGGGTTTAGGGTTTAGAAATTTAGGTTTAGGGTTTAGGGTTTAGGGTTTAGGGTTTAGGGTTTAGGGCCAGTTTAGGGTTTAGGGTCCTGGTCCTTTCGGAGTGTGAGCTCTTGGGAGAATGCCATCCAAGAAAACGCCCGTAAGGCAGGGACAAGAAGGAGGCGTTGTCCAGATTGTGGTATGTGACGAACTCCTGGTATGCCACGGTCCTTATCAAGTTTTGAGCAGGAGTCGCTTCGTCTCTGTTGGGGTTAATTACTGCAAGGACGTTTGCGTCAGCCCAACATGTACAAATCGACAGCGCAAGCTTCAAATCAAGCGTCACGCACTCAATTTCACGCATGTGAGAAAAACAGCTCAGCTGGAAGCAGTTTCTGCATGTCCTTCACGTGCCTAGCCTCTAGTTCTGGAAGTCTGCGCGTGGGCGGGCCTTCATCACCAGTGAACATAGGCGGGAATTTTCAATACCAGCGACGTTGAAGCACGAAAGAACCACCTACTGGTTATGCAGTGCTGCAAGCAAAGGAGATGTTCAGGCTCCCTGGTAGGGCGTCGCATGAAGAAGGGGCCATCAAGAATGTATGTGAACCATGAACCTGCGAAGCACTTCGCCATGCCAACTCAGTTCACCGCTTGCGTCAATCGTGCCGGTCAAGCTTTGTGGGAGCGCGCTGCTGACACATAAATTTGGGTATACAAATATCTGTACCTATACAAAAACAGGTATGTATGTATGTATGAATGTATGTATGTATGTGTGTATATATAGTTTAGATGCACGGAGAGGCTTCTTCAATACCCGGACATGTACCCAGATAAAACCAAACCGCACACTACCTCCGAGGCAGATGGAGGCAGTCGGCAGAGGGCCGCCAGACCCAAAGATCCGAAAGACCGTATGTTTTTGCAGAGCGAGTTTAGTTTAGGGTTTAGGGTTTAGGGTTTAGGGCTTAGGGCTTAGGGTTTAGGGTTTAGGGTTTAGGGTTTAGGGTTGAGGGTTGAGGGTTGAGGGTTGAGGGTTGGAGGGCTTAGGGTTCCACATTGCACCATTGAGTTTCGGGTTTAGGGTTTAGGGTTTAGGGTGGAAGGGCTCAGGGTAAGCCTGCCTTCTAACCCTCCCGTTGGAGGGTTGGAAGGCGGGGGGGGGGGGGGGGTGTAGGGTTGGAGAGTTGGAATGGAAGTTTGGAGGTTGGATAGGATTGGAGTGTTGGATTGGAGGATTGGAGGTTGGATAGGGTTCGAGAATTGGAGGGTTGGAGGACAGAGGGTTGGAGGGTTGGAGAGTTGGAAGGTTGGAGGGGGGTGTAGGGCTGGAGGGTTGCAGAGGGGGCTGTGGGAGGGTTGGAATGGCTTGCGGCTGGAGGCTTCAGATAGGCACCCCTGTAAAAGCCTCTCGCTATGAAGTGTGCTTTGCAAATTTCACGTTGGATGGATGGAGATGCACTGGTTACCTAAAGCCAATCATGCGTACGATATGTCTTTAAAAACTTCTCTACATTTTTAGATCGACCCCCCAATATGCGGGTTTCCGAAATTAAGGGCACCTTATTGGCCTCCGTATTATGAGGGAATCTGCGGGACTAGGTTGGGGGTCCCCAATTGAGGTCCCCTATGTTCGTAAGCCCTCCATATAAAGCAGATCCTTAAGTACACCGGATTCAAAGCTACTCCAGCTGCTGCTTTGGAATCTAGGCAAGCCCTGAGCTGTCCAAGATGTGCGGTTTAGGGTTTAGCGTTTAGGGTTTAGGGGTTAGAAGGAGAGTAGGCGCTGTGCGGGCCAGCGCCAGCGCCGACGCCGACACATGTTTCGGACTGAGGTACAAAGGGGGTTGCGGAAACCCAAGCTCACAGTATGCCCGTTTGCCAGAACTTGCCCTCCCCCCCCCCTCCCCCTCTCTCCCCCCTCCCCCTCTCTCCCCCTCTCTCCCCCTCTCTCCCCCGCCCTCCCCCCTGCCCCCCTCCCCCCCCCCCCGCTCTTTCCGGAAACGCTGAACCCTGCCAACTTATTCTACACTTTCCGCGGTTCCCATAGGAGCAAAGACGGCAGGCATCATTGCAGATCGAACTCCCCTAAACCCTAAACCCTAAACCCTAAACCCTAAACCCTAAACCCTAAACCCTAAACCCTAAACCCTAAACCCTAAACCCTAAACCCTAAACCCTAAACCCTAAACCCCAAGCCCTGAACCCCAAACGCTGTAAGAGGCGACCGCGTCAAGGCGGAGCCGCTTTTGAAAAGGCAAGGGACCTCGAGGGGAGAGGGCTTCGTTCAGGGTTCAACGTTTAAGCATTATAGGGATCTCTATATATATATATATGTATATCTATATATATGTATATATGCATATAATACAAATATATACACATGTATAAAAAATATATATATATATATATATATATGGATATTAAATCTATTCGTCTGATGCTGCCTTGCCCGGCTGGCTGCTGATTGGTTTCCATGTTGGTGTCTTATGCGCGTGCCAGAAAGTAGTTCCGGGTCGGTTTGGACTGTTGCATGGAAATCTTCGTCTCCAGAAAACAGCACCATGCGGAGGCGGTTGGTTGACGGACACCTTCTGTTGGAAAGTCTTGGATGCATTAAGTACGAAGCGAAGCAGGAAGCATGGCAAATTGTGCCCGATGTTCGACTGAGGTACGGTGCCTGGCCTTAGAACCCTGTGGCTGAATGCTGAAGGCGCGCGATGTACCAGAGACTATCATGCACTCATCAGCTCACCAAACTTGCCATACTCTGTGGGGTTTAATAATTAGGATAGGGTTTTGGGGGCTATTTCCGACCCCTATATTACCTGAAAGAGACTGAAGAGCTTGTTGGTTGGCTGTTGTTTTTCCTGTTAGAAAGGGGAGCAACCAAACCCTCCACCCCAAGCGTTCCCGTCGCTTGGCTTTGGCTACGCAAGCCTAAACCCCAAATCACCACGTTCGCACCTTACTGATATTAACAACTCCCCTTGACTCTTGCTAAGCCGATGAACATGATGATCCCAACCTGCTTTAAGATCAGAAAGGGTCTTCATGCAGCGAAGGCTAGCCAAATCTTGTACCTTCAAACTCTGGACCGTTCAACGCTGAAAACCTAAAATAGTTCCAAAGCCCTATAAAAACCCTCCCGAACTTATGCTCACGTGGCCTAAGCCCTAAACCTAGTATCCAAACCTTGTGTTGAAGGCGACCTTTCAACCCCTGAACCAGGAGCCCCAACGGCCCCCTAAACCCCAAGCCCGAAACCCAAACTCTAAAGCCCAAACCCTTATAAGCCCTCAACCCTGAGCCCCAAACCCCAAACCCAAGTCCTTAAGTCCTAATTAATCCCCAAACCTTGTGAAGCCCTCAACCCCTGAGCCCTAAACCTTGAACCCTCAACCCTCAACCCTCAGCCCTCAACCCTAAACCCTAAACCCTGAACCCCAAGCCCTGAAGCCCCAATCCTCAAAACGCAACGCGCCGCAACACCCATTGAGGCTGCAGGTTGGGATGTTCCCCCTTATACTAACAGTCCTTACTAGGGATTGTAGTACCCCCCTCCTATTACAATCCCTATTAAGGACCCTAAACCCTAAACCCTAAACCCTAAACCCTAAACCCTAAACCCTAAACCCTAAACCCTAAACCCTAAACCCTAAACCCTAAACCCTAAACCCTAAACCCTAAACCCTATGATTGAGCTAGTACAAGGAGGGCCATCCGAAGCTTCAGGGATTCTTCTGAGCAGCTGCTCGGAGGTCAGGCCAAGCTCCCTCTGCACCTTCGTCCCAAACAGGGGAAGGGTTTAGGGTTTAGGGTTTAGGGTTTAGGGTTTAGGGTTTAGGGTTTAGGGTTTAGGGTTTAGGGTTTAGGGTTTAGGGTTTAGGGTTTAGGGTTTAGGGTTTAGGGTTTAGGGTTTAGGGTTTAGGGTTTAGGGTATTAGGGTTTAGGGTTTAGGGTTTAGGGTTTAGGGTTTAGGGTTTAGGGTTTAGGGTTTAGGGTTTAGGGTTTAGGGTTTAGGGTTTAGGGTTTAGGGTTTAGGGTTTAGGGTTTAGGGTTTAGGGTTTAGGGTTTAGGGTTTCTTGAATTAAGATCCGTTTTGGGTACCCACGGTAAAGGGATCCCAGAAAGGGACCCTCATTTTGGCACCGGATTCCGGGTGTCATATTCAGGCTCCCTAAACCCTAAACCCTAATTCCTACACCCTACACCCTAAACCCTAAACCCTAAACCCTGAAGCGCTACCCCCGCCCTACTCTCATCCCGATTAAGGATATAGTACCCCCTACTCTAATCCCAATTAAGGACTGCTAGTATAAGGAACATCCCAAATTGAACCAAGAGCCGCTCGAGTTAAAGAAGCCCCCTCCCTGGCCCCCCCAGAAGCACTACTAGACCCGGGAGTAACCTAGGAATATAAAGGGGGTGCCCTTTTTGGTTTTAGGGGATTATAAGGGAACCCCAACCCCTAAAAAAAGCAAAAAAGGGCCTACTCCCGGTCCTAGACTATAGCTTCCGCCCACTCGATGAAGCATGGCCCTTGGGGGTTTGGGGTTTAGGAAGTCGGGGCCCGAGGGCCGCCTAAAGACACTGGCTAAACATCCCAGAGGTTGCGGGTTTGGCATGCGGAGGCCCCAAGACCGTGAGATCAACCCCTGCCAACAACGCACCCCTGCACCCCCAAAAACCCAGGCAGCGGGTTTAGGCTTCGGGCAAACATGCAACAGTCCTAAACCTAAACCCTAAACCCTAATTAAACCCTAAACCCTAAACCCTAAACCCTAAACCCCCCACAGAACCCCCCCACCCCCCCCGCAAAAAAAAAAGAAAGAGAGAGAGCAGAACAAAGTGCCTGAGAGAGGGTGGCGGCTTCGACCTTGGACGTGCTTTTTGGTTTTTGGGGTTTAGGGAGTAGGTTCTCGGCGGGCTTGTAGGGTTCTTCAGGGGGGGGAGTTCAAGGGGCCTTAGGGTCCAGGGTCTAGGGCTGAGGGGTATATAACCCAAGGGTCCCTAATGGCTTGTCTTCTCCAAAGCCCTCTGAGAACTGTTGTGGGAAAAGACCCTGCTACAGATTCAGACTCAAACACCATAAGTGCCAGCACAACATAGCCCCGCAAATACTACAATCCTGAGCCTCCTCGCCACAAAAGCAACATACTGCTATTGTGAGGGAACCCTATACCCTAACCCTAAACCCGAAACCCTATTTGGGAAAACCTCCAGATGTTCTGGGGTTCAAGGAGCTCGGAGGTCCTTTTATGGAAACCAACTCCGTCTGGGTTTAGGGTTTAGAGCCTGCAAGTGAGTCACCGCATGTAGTTATAAGGCTCCACAAAACCCTGAATTCTGAACCAGCGCGAATTCTTGAAGCCCTCTTGCATCTGGTCTGCAGGGACTCAACCAGGTAACCCTAAACCCTGAATCCGAAATTCTAAACTTAGAGCGCCGAGGTACCTCCAACAGTTGCTGTTGCGCTTTCGCCTTCGCGATTCCAATGGCCTCTCAGACCAGGGTTTAGGGTTTAGGGTTTAGGGTTTAGGGTTTAGGGTTTAGGGTTTAGGGTTTAGGGTTTAGGGTTTAGGGTTAAGGGTTTAGGGTTTAGGGTTTAGGGTTTAGGGTTTAGGGTTTTTTGGGCGCTTTAGGGCTTTAGGGTATGTTTAATGCTTCATGGCTCTAAGGGTAGTTCCATGGCCCCTCAACAGAAAGGGGACCCCTCATATGCCTCCTGGTATACCCTACAAAACCCACGGGCCTGTGACTTCAGAACCCTTTAAAGAAGGTAAGGGACCATATTCAGGGACCACGTGGGGTGTACGAAAATAAGGGACCCGTAATGTTGACCCCAAATAGTAGCTTCCCAGTGAGGTGCCCCTGATTTCGGAACCCCCCCCCCCCCTTATGAAACCCTAACCCTAAACCCTAATCCCTAAACCCTAAACCCTAAACCCTAAACCCTAAACCCTAAACCCTAAACCCAAAACCCTAAACCCTACCCTCAGAATGGAACATGGGTTCAATGGGGTCCCAGGGGAATCCTGCCAGATTTACGCAGGTCCTCTGAGTTGGGTCTCAAGGCCCAAAAGTCTTCCGGCTTCTGCCGCACCATCTCCGAAGAGCGGCTTAGGATGTATTTTTTCGAGAGGAGGGTTTAGGGTTTAGGGTTTAGGGTTTAGGGTTTAGGGTTTAGGCTTGCTCTACCTCGTTTAGGTCCTGCCTACGGAGCTCGAGGAGGGCTCAGGTTCTAGCTGCAGTGGAGTTTTTTTTTTTTTTTCGGGTGGGGGGGGGGGGTGGGGTAAGGGTCCCTTCTAGAGGTCCCTCTTTATGCTCGCTAGCACCAGGGCTCAAGAGCCTGGCTGCGAAGCCTCAACCTGCGGCCGGCAAGCGTGAGCTTTGGGAACGAGGGCTCACCGTAAGCTTAAGCCCTAAGCCCTCAACCCTTAACCCCCCATAAACCATATTGAATCATCCAAGAGCCCCGGGGAGATTGTCGGAGTAGAGAAGAGCTTGTTGAAGGGCTTCGCACCCTGTGTTCACCCTACGACACCACAAGTAAGTGCACGCCCTTTCGCACGCTTTGCAGGTTTTTTACTGCCAATCTGGTGTCGGGATCAAAGTGTCCCTGGGATGCGCTTGCTGCCACCTTATTGGGCTTCATTTGCCCTCCTCCCAGAGACTCCAAAACCCCTTAATTAAGGAATATACCTTAAATCGTACTGGGGATCCTATTATCATGTAAGGGATATACCTTAATTAAGGGGGTTTTGGAGTCTCTGGAGGGAGGGCTCCATGAATTGGCCACCTGCGCTCCGCACACTTGCTTTGCTGTCATAAGGCACGCGCTGAGTCCTCACACAAAGCCTGATGAGGTCGTGAAAATGGTGTGAAGTCTGCGCTGCCTATCGAATGAGCCGAACTATATTCCTTGAAACCCTGTACCCTCCACTGCCAGCTGAACATCCAGCCCTTGCACCATTTAGCCGGTTCGGGTCGACCCCAAAATTCCTTGCACTGGCACGTGTTCTGTCGCCTGATGCGTTCAAATTCCATTGAGGGTTTAGGGTTTAGGGTTTAGGGTGATCCTGCGAAGTCGCGACGCTCATAGGCTTTAGAACTCCACCGCAAAGTCCCCACCTGCGTGTACGCTGCATCTGCGCCGTTCCGCGTGACTGTGACGTTCCTGTCAGGGATCTGTTTTGTGTCGGTGTCGGGTCTTCCGTTCAAGCCCTAAACCCTAAACCCTAAACCCTAAACCCTAAACCCTAAACCCTAAACCCCCTCACCCCTGGTGCCCTAGCCAAAAGCACCTTTCCAGTGGCAGCCTTTCGCTCTCTCACAGCAAATCAGGGCCGAAGCCCTGAACCCTCCCCAAAACCTCCCTATGTGGTTTAGGGTTTAGGGTTTAGGGCCTTTTTGGGGTAGTATACCAGAACCCCCTACAACGAACCCAAAACGGAACTACGTTGGAGCCTTCAGGTAAACCCCCCTTGGGGCTCATGGTACTTATGACCCAATTGCTACTGTACTTACAACCCCCTAAACCCTAAACCCTAAACCCTAAACCCTAAACCCTAAACCCTAAACCCTAAACCCTAAACCCTAAACCCTAAACCCTAAACCCTAAACCCTAAACCCTAAACCCTAAACCCTAAACCCCCAAGTGCCCCAATATGGTCATAAGTACAATTCGAAGTAGAGTTCTGTGTGGCCAGCAAGTACCATGAACCTCCAAGTACGAATTGCTTAAGAACCCCCCCCCCACCACAAAAAACAATACTACAAATTTTCTTCCTTGTAGGGGGAATATGGTTATAAGTACAGTTATGATTGGTTACTCAGGTTAATAAGTATTGTAGAGGCAATATCCTCCACCCCAACCCTAAACCCTAAAGCACAGGCCTGGTGTAGGCGGCTTTCCTCACCTGCGTGTCCGCCTCAATCCTGCTCGCCGCTTGCTCGTTCTGCCTTGCCACTGCGCCATGTCTAGGCTCCCTAGACCCAAAGAGTAGCCGAGGAATAAAAAGGGCGCAAGCCCTAAACCCTAAACCCTAAACCCTAAACCCTAAACCCTAAACCGGAAAGCCCTGAATAAGGGCACGAGGGCCTGCGCTGGTTGCTAATGTACATTCCGGGCTTCTGGGGGCTTCATGTGCTGGGACATTTGCGTGAGCTTCGAGGGCCTCAAAACCCTCAGCCCTAAGCCCTAAGCCCTAAGCCCTTTTTTGCATCCGGAGTCCTGTGGGTGCTGCCAGAATGTAAACCCTGAAATTTTAGAGTTGTGCGATTTGGCGGCTTCTTCTTTGTCACTCGCTCTGCGGCAAGGTTTCCGACTTTCACCTCATGACCTCATGTGGCAATTGATCCAATACCAAATACCTGTCCCCAAAGTACAGATAAGGTAGGCTACATACCTTGTTAGCAGCCTAGCACTGGGCAGAGAGGTTACATTTTACCAGGCTCAAGTTTGGGCAAACAGAGGGTCCGCCTTAAGTTCGCTGTGAAGATGTTTCCTTTGCTGGGGCATACCTGGGCCTTAACTCGTAGGTATAGTCTAACCCATAACCCATAAAGCTGTAGGTAAAGAGGGTCCCAGGTACTTACCTAGGACTCTGCCAACCCGTTACACTATGTCAGATTAATTGCTACCAAGCTGTAGGTACAGTAGGAGCCCTAAACCCTAAACCCTAAACCCTAAACCCTAAACGTCCAAGGTTAGCATTCGCAGCTCCTTGGGCTGTGCACGATTTCGGGTGCCCTTTTCGGGGCGTAAAGAAAAGCCGTGGTTTTGATGGAAAGGCACCCACACCCTAAACCCTAAACCCTAAACCCTAAACCCTAAACCCTAAACCCTAAACCCTAAACCCTAAACCCTAAACCCTAAACCCTAAACCGCCCTATCAACCCTTAACCCTACATGTCAATACAGTTACCTCATAGCAGCCTGGATGGGTACGACCTCGATACATTCTTTGAAGCAGCTGAGCGCACGACTTACCTCTGTTGGACTACGGCAGCGTTTGTAGGTGCAGTTAGACAGGCGTGGTGTTTGGGCGGGGTAACCCAAAGAAAGTCCAAAAGGGGCACCGCACAATGCTCAAAGCCTTGAAAAGGTTTAGGGTTTAGGGTTTAAGGGTTTAGGGTTTAGGGTTTAGGGTTTAAGCAAGACGCTTGGTCTTCTGCATCTGCTCCGTCACCTGCATCAGAACACGCTTCAATCTTTCGAAGGCCCTAACCATCCTCAAGTCCTGAACCCCGCTTTTTGGGCGTAAGTATCGCACAGCTAGAGCTTGCCATTGCCAGGGGAGCCAGGTAAACTTGCGATCTGGAACCTAAGCGTCATACTGCACCTCCCTGCATGGCACTAACGACGCAAGGGTTCTGAAGGCTGTGCCAGGGAGCTTGCTGCAATTTTGTGCCACAACACTTGCTTCCCGAGCAACGCCCCAACCCTCCACTCCACAAGCCGGGTGAAACAAAGGTTTAGGTTTCTTCTTGTTCTTGACTAAGGGTAGAGTATGCTTACTACACTGACAGGACTGAGTACTGTTCTGGAAGGACTGAATACTGTTATGGAGTTGGGGGCATCCAAGTACTGGGGTTTTGGGATACAATAAAGGGTTCCCCTACTACCCCCCTCTATACTACCCAACCGGGGTTCCCCAATGAAATAACCTTAATTCGGATTAACTATCCCTAAATGGTTTTTATTATGGGGCGAACCAAGGGGGGGTAGTATAGAGGGGGGGTGGTAGGGGATCCCATGATACAAGGTTCCCCATCAATCTAAGCAGATGAACATGCCCTGGTGTGTGGTTGGAGTTGGGTGGCATATCAGGAAGCCCCAAACCGCAAAACGCTGAAGCAGTGAAGAAGGGCAGCCAGCCCCCAAACCCTAAACCCTAAACCCTAAACCCTAAACCCTAAAAAACCCTATTCTGGACACCCTATAGGAGGCTGCGGATCTCTGGGGTTGATCCAGCTTCATGAAGATGTGCCCAAGAAAACAGATTACAGGGTTGTTTAGGGAGCGGGCTTAGGGTTTAGGGTTTTGGGGGTCTAGGGTTTAGGGAGGGGGGTTTCATGGGGGACAGGTACCTAATGAACCTTAGGGAAGCTTAGGGAGTATTACGAACCTTAGGTCACACACCCCCCCTTGAACCCCCCTTCCCTTAAGGACCCTAGAAACAGACAAAAGGGTTTAGGCTTCCTGGCTTCCTCCGGCCTGCGTGTTCACAATTGACGCCTCGAATTCCTGGGGAAGTTCGATGACCAGTATCTGCAGGCCCTCACAGTGAGCTCCAAATTCCTGAGCGCTCAGAGTTTTAGGGTTCAGGGTTTATAGGTTTAGGGGCTATAGGGTCTGTCGTTGCTTTTTTGACCGCATGTTTCATTCCACCTCTCCATCGGCAACTTCTGTCAGGCTGCAGAATACGAGGCTCATGCATCGAAAGTGCATTCGCGTGGTTTCTTTCATGAGGTGGGACAAGGCTATACCAGGTCTTGCTTCTTTTGCGGATCCGGGTGGCCCTAAAACCAACCCTAGGGAAGCTCCATCTAGAGTTACTCGGCCCCAAAAATCTTTCAAACATCCCATGGCCATTTGCGGAAGCAACCAAACTCCCACTCTGACCCCCATATACTCTATATACCTTACTATTCATGTGGGCCCTGGCTGCCACAAAAGATTCAACGGAGCAGATGAAAGCACTTTGGCGCATGAGCACCCCCAGCACACACCTTCCTGTGCGCATGGGGGGTTGGAGTTCTCTGGACTATGGGCCCTTTGGGCCCGTGCTATGCGATGTCAAATGTAGGTAGTGGAGGCCCAATACAAGGGCTTCAACGAACAGCTGAATGCCCCACACCGCACTCCCGTCCAACACTGGAGACATGTTGGGCTTCACGTGACCTATATAGCAGCAGAAGAAAATCATTACCTTCGACCTGCTTTAAACGGCTCCAGTGAAGCGAAAAACGTAGAGTCCGGCGGCAATGTGGGCAGGTGCAAATGCTTCGAGGTTGTTGGGCTTCCTAGTGCCCTGATCAGCGACTCAGTCAACTGTCAGGAGGCCATCTAGGAGGCACTTTAAATGTCGGGCCCACGCTAAGCCCAGTTGCCGCTTTGGCTTCTGCAGGCGGTTACTGGGGGGATCGTGTCATCCTGTATTGCACACTGCTATCTTCAACTTCACCTGGCCAAGCGGATGAAAAACAAGCAGACCTCTGGGAGCAAAAAAGTCGAGAGCTGCTTTGGAAGCGTGTTGGACAATTACTGTGGCCGATAAGGCTGCGCAAATGCTCATGCCTCGACAGTGCATTCACGTGGTTTCCACCATGGGGCAAACGACGGCTGACCCTCACACAATATCAATCAAGCCTGGGGAAGCTTCAACTAGAGATACTCGACCCCAAAAATCTTTCAAACATCCCATGGCCATTTGTGGAAGCAACCAAACTCCCAGTACTCTGACCCCTATATACCCCGCATGCAAGCACTTTGGCGCATGAGCCCCCCAGCACAGACCTTCCTGCATGTGGGGCTTTACAGATTTTGCGACCCTTTTGGCCTGTGCCATGCAATGTCAAAGAAGATGTAGGCAGTGGAGACGCAATACTAGCGCAGCGCGATCACTTTGCAGGCAGCTTGTCGCTAGACCCACCTGACTGGCTATCCGTATGGAAACCAAAATCAGCCCAAAAGCAGACACGAACATTCGCACTAAACCCAACTACGAAGACCGTAAACCCAACTGGCGGCAGGCAAACGTCCGCTTTGGCTTCTATACAGGCAGCGAACGATCAGCAGAACACTGGGAGGAGAAAAAGATCGAAAGTTGCAAAAGGGGCTTGGATGCACAGCTGAATGTCCCACACCACACTCCCGTCCAACGCTGGAGACATGTTGGGCTTCACGTGACGTATATAGCAGCAAAAGAAAATCATACGAGTATCATCGACTTGCTTTAAGCGGCTCCAGCGAGGCGAAAAATCTAGAGTCCGACGGCAATGTGGGTACGCGCACAAGCTTCGGGGTTGTTGGGCTTCCTAGTGCCCTGATCAGCGACTGCTATCCTGCTCAGTCAACTGTCAGGAGGCCATCTAGGAGGCACTTTAAATGTCGGGCCCACGCTAAGCCCAGTTGCCGCTTTGGCTTCTGCAGGCGGTTGCTTGGGAGATCGTGTCATCCTGTATTGCACACTGCTATCTTCAACTTCACCTGGCCAAGCGGATCAAAAACAAGCAGACCTCTGGGAGCAAAAAAGTCGAGAGCTGCTTTGGAAGCGTGTTGGACAATTACTGTGGCCGATAAGGCTGCGCAAATGCTCATGCCTCGACAGTGCATTCACGTGGTTTCCACCATGGGGCAAACGACGGCTGACCCTCACACAATATCACTCAACCCTGGGGAAGCTCCAACTAGAGATACTCGGCCCCAAAAATCTTTCAAAGATCCCATGGCCATTTGCGGAAGCAACCAAACTCCCACTCTGACCCCCATATACTCTATATACCCTACTATTCATGTGGGCCCTGGCTGCCACAAAGGACTCAACGGAGCACAACGGTACCAGATGAAAGCACTTTGGCGCATGAGCCCCCCAGCACACACCTTCCTGTGCGCATGGGGTGTTGGAGTTCTCTGGATTATGTGCCCTTTGGGCCTGTGCTATGCGATGTCAAAAAAGAATGTAGGTAGTTGAGGCCCAATCCAGGGGCTCGAACGCACAGCTGAATGCCCCACACCGCACTCCCGTCCAACACTGGAGACATGTTGGGCTTCACGTGACCTATATAGCAGCAGAAGAAAATCATTACCTTCGACCTGCTTTAAACGGCTCCAGTGAAGCGAAAAACGTAGAGTCCGGCGGCAATGTGGGCAGGTGCAAATGCTTCGAGGTTGTTGGGCTTCCTAGTGCCCTGATCAGCGACTCAGTCAACTGTCAGGAGGCCATCTAGGAGGCACTTTAAATGTCGGGCCCACGCTAAGCCCAGTTGCCGCTTTGGCTTCTGCAGGCGGTTACTGGGGGGATCGTGTCATCCTGTATTGCACACTGCTATCTTCAACTTCACCTGGCCAAGCGGATGAAAAACAAGCAGACCTCTGGGAGCAAAAAACTCGAGAGCTGCTTTAGAAGCGTGCTGTGCACATGCACAGCCTTGACTCACACCGCACTCCCATCCAGCTCTAGACGAGGTGCTGTCTCGAGCTGCTTCACATTGCCACTCACTTTCGGAGTTCAACAGCCCCCAAAAAAGTGCACACTTTCAGTTCTACAGGGGATTATAGTATCCCAACAAGTAAGTAAAGTGTACTCACTCAGCTACTGAGTCAAGGTCGCTTGAGCCATGGCCCAGCACATACTTCCTAACTTTGACCTCAGGCAGCTCCCCCCGCGAGGCGGGGAACTGGCTGGAATCGGAATACCTTGGCAGCCCAGGAACCATGGCTTTCTAAGGGCACCTTTTTTCTTTGGTTGGCTTTGGTTCGTTCATAGCGGAAACCCAAAACCCCAAAAGAAAGAAAGAAAAGGGTACCTCTGGGCTTAGGGGATCAGGGGTTCAGGGTTCAGGGTTCAGGGTTTAGGGTTTAGGGTTTAGGGTTTAAGGTTTAGGGTTCAGGGTTTAGGGTTTAGGGTTTAGGGCTACCAAGATACTCAGCAGCTGATGAGGAGCTCGCCGTGCTGCTCCAGAAGCTGCTCAACCAAGCCTGCCTGGAGGTTCAGGGTACTTGTTAACCAATTATAACTGGTTAGGGTTCAGGGTTCAGGGTTCAGGGTTCAGGGTTTAGGGTTTAGGATTTAGGGTTTAGGGAGTAACCTAGGAATAAAAAGGGTACCCTTTTTTGGTTTTCAAGGGGATTATAAGGGAACCCCAACCCTAAAAAAAGGAAAAAAGGGGCCTACTCCCGGTACTTGTTAACCAATTATAGCTGGTTAGGGTTCAGGGTTTAGGGTTTATAGGGTTTATAGGGTTTATAGGGTTTATAGGATTTATAGGGTTTGGGGTTTAGGGCTTGGGTTTGGGGTTTCGGGTTTAGGGTTTGAACTGTACTTATAGCTGTACTTCGAACCATACTAGGGCACGTACAAAAGGGGCTTATAAACGTGGGTTCTAAGTACAGTTATAATTGGCTAGTAAGTACCATGAACCTCCAAGTGCCTGGAGAAGCAAGTCAGGGTGACAGCGCACAATGATGTCATCGCTGACGCTGGAGCTGCTGAAGCGAGATGAGTCACAGATGCTGCCGCAACCGGAATCGCCATGGTCGAGCCCGGCACTTTGCCTAGACCCGGGAGTAACCTAGGAATAAAAAGGGTGCCCTTCTTGGTTTTGAGGGGAATGTAAGGGAACCCCAACCCTTAAAAAAAGGAGACAATCAAAGGAAATCAGGGCCTAATCCGGGTCCTAGTTGCGCTCCATTTGAGGAGTCCATTGGCTTCCAATTGAGGTCCCTGGTGCGTCGACGGAAGCCTTTGCTGCTTTTCCCAGCCTTCTCAGCCCGCACGAAGTTCTGTGCCTCCTCGTACACCCACTGAGGTATGTCTTCATAGGCCTTCGACAGCGCAGAGCTCGTCACACGCTTCCCATCCTTAAAGACCCAGGGCGCATGTGGGTCGTGGATGGTGCTCCGGCCAAAGCGCGCGACGTAGTAGGCCATGTTGAAGCTGAGGCTCTGCACGTTGCTCGCGCAAGCCACCAAGGTCCATGACCTGCTGGTGTTGAGCTGGTTGATGTCATCGCACAGCTCCTTGGCACTTCTGAAGTTCACGAGGTTGATGAAACAAAGGGCGATGTTGACACTCCTGCGGCGGTCATACGGCATGTAGATAAAGTCAAACTTGCCTGGGACCATCATGCTGATCATGCCAACCAGCTTCGCAGGCGTCATATCCACAGGCAACCGGCGAATCATCACTGTGGTGAAGGGGTCCTCACGTACCCAGCCTTGGTCCCTTACCACGTGCGTTGGCTCCATTGCGCTGGCAAAGGCAACCCAACCCCCTAAGCCCTAGACCCTAGACCCTAGACCCTAGACCCTAGACCCTAGACCCTAGACCCTAGACCCTAGACCCTAAACCCTAAACCCTAAACCCTAAACCCTAAACCCTCCCTTCCCCGATGAGATGGGGCGGTGTTTTCAATCGGCCCCCATCTGAGACTCGGAGCCACGGCTGGGACTCTCGGAGTCACTCCCCAAGTCCTCGAGTACTAAACTAGGGTTTAGGGTTTAGGGTTTAGGGTTTAGGGTTTAGGGTTTAGGGTTTAGGGTTTAGGGTTTAGGGTTTAGGGTTTAGGGTTTAGGGTTTAACCTAGGAATGAAAAGGGCACCCTTTTTGGTTTTAAGCGGATTAAAGTGGAACCCCAACCCTAAAAGAAGGAAAACAGGGCCTACTCCCGGTCCTAGCAAAAAACGGGATTCGGATGCTACCCTAAACTACTATTTGCTTCAGCATCCCCCCCAAAAGAAAGAACATAATAATCCCGACATTGCCCTTTAAGGCAGAAGCTTGGGTGGTTCTTATGCGAGAATGCTAGTTGAAACCCTATAAATCTGAACCCTAAGCGCTCTCAAGCTCCTGTATGACCTCAACCTCAATCCCTAAACCCTAGACCCTCAACCTAACCCTAACCCCGGCAGCCCTAAACTCTACACCCGAAACCCTCTCCAAGCCTCAGTAGACCTCCGAGTTCGCTAGTGCGTTTTATGAGGGGTTTCCCACATTAAGGGTACCAAACTAGGGTCCTTACTATGAGGGGATCCTACTATTTGGGATCTATCTTGGGGGTCCCCTATTTTCGTAAACCACCATATTGGGTTCGAAACCTAAACCCTGAACCCTAAACCCAAAACCCTAAACTCTAAACCCCATGAGAATCACGTCCAGGCCACCCCTCTCAGGCGCTTATTCAGCAAGGACTGCATCTCGTGACCGATCTTCTCACGCTCCTCCCAATACCTGGAGGGTTTAGGGTTTAGGGTTTGGGGTTTAGGGTCCATGGCCTATCGGGGGTTTCAGGACGCACTACAGCCTAAGGGCTCTTAACTTTCGGTTGCTGATAGGGTTGGCTTCTCCTCTAACCCTAAACCCTAAACCCTAAACTAAACCCTACACCCTAAACCCTCCTCGCAGACGCCTTTTCCCTTCTGTTACGCGTCTTGCTTGCTTCCGGACCGCAGCGAAGAAGACAGAGTGCCAGACTCGCAGTTGTCTTGGGATTTAAGGGTTACCCTAAACCCTATACACCCTTTTGTTGAACCCTAAACCCTAAACCCTACACCCTACACCCTGCACCCTGCACCCTAAACTCTAAACCCTAAACCCTAAACCCTACAACTACATCCCTAATAAGTCCGGATTTCGCTGACCAGCTGCTGGGGTGCGTCGTAGTCCGCAGCAGCTTTAAGCAGCACATCTCCTCTCGGTGACGGAGTTTCGCCCTAAGCCCCAACCCCTAAACCCTAAACCCTAAACCCTAGACCCTAAACCCTAAACCCTTAACCCCAAACCCTAAACCCTAAAGTTCGGCTTCGAGCCTTCAAGTTTGGGTTGGTTGAGGCCTCAGCCTTGAAATTTCAACACTCTCATATCGGGCTCAGGGGCTCAAAGCTTGGGTAGTTTTAGGGCTGAAGGTTTGGAGATTGGGGTTCGGTGTTTAGGGTTTAGGGTTTAGGGTTTAGGGCTTTAAGCCAGGGTTTGCGGCCTCTGGGGCACCTGAAGAGTACCTTCAAGCGATGGGGAGACCCTGCATGCCAGGCCACTCGCGTTCCGCACGAAGAGTGGCTCGTAGTTGAGGTTCCTTGAAAGAGAAGTACCCCTAAACCCCATAGGACAGAAATCCCTGATTCCTTAACCCTAAGCCCTAAACCCTACATCCCCCCTCCACCCCATAAGCCCTAAACCCTGAATCCTAAGCCCTAAACCCTAAACCCGAAATCCCGAACTTTCCACAAGGCCCGGAAGTTCCTACAGTCCCCAAAAAAAGTTCCTAAAGTCATTATCAAGTTCTTAACTGAGGGGCTGAATACCCTGGCCCACAAAAAGATGAACCTTTTATGCGTAAAGGTTAAAGGCTAACTACCCAGCCGCTAAACCCTACACCCTAAACCCTACACCCTAAACCCTAAACCCTAAACTCTAAACCCTAAACCAGCCCTTAAGTTAGAGTTCCTAGAGTCCACAGACCCGGAAGCCCCATCCCCCGGGAAAGCCCTTTTTGACTCAGCAAGTAGGGTTTAGGGTTTAGGGTTTAGGGTTTGGGGTTTAGGGTTTAGGGTTTAGGGTTTGGGGTTTGGGGTTTAGGGTTCAGCAAGGTGGGTTATGGGGACGATAATCGGGTTTTGACGGGATGCTAAGTAGACTTACTAAGTCAAAAGAGCTTCCAAGTACTTGCTCAACCCCACCCTAAGCTTCGGTTGGGGTTTGGGGTTTGGGGTTGGGGGTTTGGGGTTTGGGGTTGGGGGTTGGGGGTTTGGGGTTTGGGGTTTGGGGTTCAGGGTTTTGGGTTTAAGGTTTAAGGTTTAGGGTTGGGGTGCGCTTAGTCTGCATGCATGGA